AGCAACCCTATGTACAACAGTCCTAAACTCTGCTCTGTCCTGTGACAATCTCACTGTCTCTGACACTCCCATCCCTATTATCCCAGTCACAGAATCAATCCACCTCATAGAGGGCCTTCCTCCCTTGCACTGTCCCTCTACCCTCCCGAGCATGATGTCCGTCTCCAAGGACTGGTCCCTCCTTACAACATGCCCAAAGTAAGTCAAACGAAGCCTCAGAATCCTTGCCTCCAAGGAGCCACCCAGTTTAACCCTCTCCAGGATTTCCTAGCAGTCCACTCTTCTCCAGCACCACAGCTCAAAGGCATCAATTCTCCTTAAATCCTCCCTAGTCATTGTCCAACTCTCTGATGCATAACAAGTGATTTCAAATACCATAGCCTGTATCAGACACACCTTAGTCTCTAGAGAGACACCATTGCTCTTCAATACTTTGGAGAGGTCCCTGACTTCAGACTTTCCCATGGCAATACGTCTTTTAATTTCCTGGCTACTGGTGCCAAGAGTGTTGACTGTGGAGCCAAGCACACGAAAACGTAAGTTTGCCTGGCTCCTGTACAATATAAGAAGATAAAATTATTATGCTTTTGCATTTACACTTGCCTTGTTCAGAAAGGGGAAAAATAAGGTGATTTGTGGTTATGACTAAGCATCTTTGGTGATTCATTGTATGGAGTGCGGTAGTGCTAACCAGCTTCCATGGAAGAAAAAGAAAGCATTCTGAATCTGCAGGACTTTAGCCTGGGAAACATCAGGGCAATTCTGCTCTGTCCTTTGCGGTCCATGATAGACAATTGACACTGCAGCAATGAGTTAGAGTTTTTAATGAGTTTCTTAATTTGTTAAGTATACTATTAAGGATCAATGTGACTTATTTCCAGGGCTATCCCTGTCACTGAAGCAATGAAAATGATGAATAATGTGACTGAATTCATCTTCCTGGGCCTGTTCCAGAATCTGGCACTTCAAAAATTTGCATTTGCTGTGATTTTAATTCTCTACTTGATCACCTTGGCGGGGAATATGCTCATTATGATCACCATCTGTACCAGTAGGGCCTTGGGATCCCCCATGTACTTCTTCCTGTCTTACTTATCCCTTATAGATGGCTGTTTTTCTTCATCTGCAACCCCTAAAATGTTAGCTGACACTCTTTCTGTGAGAAAAACCATTTCATTTAGGGGCTGTATGACTCAAGTCTTCATTGAACATCTTTTTGGTGCTGCTGAGATCATCCTGTTGACGGTAATGGCCTTTGACCGCTACGTGGCCATCTGCAGGCCCTTGCACTACGCCACCATCATGAACCACAGGCTATGCAGTCTCCTGGTAGCAGTGGCCTGGACCGGAGGGTTTCTTCATGCAACCATTCAGATCTTCTTCATAATCTGGCTGCCATTCTGTGGCCCCAATGTTATAGACCACTTCATGTGTGACTTGAACCCTTTGTTAAAACTTGCTTGCATGGACACTCATACGCTTGGTCTGTTTGTTGCTGCCAACAGTGGATTTATATGCTTGTTAAGCTTTCTCATCTTAATGGTCTCCTATGTGGTCATCTTGCGTTCCCTAAGGAACCATAGCTTGGAAGGGAGACGTAAAGCCCTCTCTACCTGTGTGTCTCATATCACAGTGGTTGTTTTATTTTTTGTACCCTGTATATTTGTATATATGCGTCCAGTGACTACCTTCTCCATTGATAAAGCTGTGGCTGTCTTTTATGCAGTAATTACTCCCATGTTAAATCCCTTAATCTATACTCTCAGAAATGCAGAAGTGAAAAATGCAATGAAGCAGCTTTGGGTGAAAAAAGTGACTTCAACAGAGAAATCATGACATCAACATAAAGTTAATTTACTCTTTAAATAGTGAAAATTTAAGAAGATAACTTCCATAGTTTAAAGCCAGGAAATAGTATTTGTCAAAAGTCATATGATTTGTTTCTGTGGAAAAAGTCTTGGCAGGAAATTATTTATCAATATAAGAATATTTAATCTAGATTTAATAATTGTATATTTGGATTTTAATATTTAAAATACTGAATCATATAAGTGTTTTTTAAAAATAGTTTTACAAGATTCCATATATTTTTTTTTTATTTAGTAGAGTGATTCAGTATTTATATATGTTCTTTTTTTTTTAGGAATTTCAGTTTCAACTTTATTTTTTACACTACTTTATTAACAAAATTAGAATACCTTGTTTTCCAGAACAGATTCTTCCAATTTCTCTCACTCCCTCCATCAAGTTGTACAACTTCATGACTAATCCCCCTCCCCCTGCACATCCTCATCCTTCTGCTTCCACCCTTCCCCACCCCCCTTGGATCTTTATACTCTTTCTACAATGACGGCTTTCTACAATGACGGCTTTCTACAATATTTGTTCTTGTGGGACTGAGTTAATTCACTCAGCATAATGCTCTCCAGTCCCTCCCAAGTCAGGTTATGATTTACAAAATCATTGTTCCTGTGTGGTATGTAGTATTCCATTGTGTGAATGTACCCTGATTTCTCAATCCATTTGTTTGTGGCTGGATATCTGGACTTTTTCCATGTTCTTGAGATGGTGAATAACACTACTATGACCATTGGTATGCAAGTGTCCATTTGTGCCTCAGTTTTCATTCCCTGAGAGTATATTCCAAATAGTGGAATAGCTGGGTCATATGAAATTTCTATGTTCAACTTTTTGAGGAAGTGCCAAACGGCCTTCCAGAATGGTTGTGCTATTTTACAATCCCACCAACAATGTATAAGAGTTTCTTTCTCATCACATCCTCTCCAGCATTTATAACTTGCTGCCCTATTAAACTGCCACTGTTATGTACCTACATTTTAAAAGAAATCACCAGCTGTTTCTGAAGATGGTTTACATATACGCTTAGAGCAATAGCATTATAACTTACATTTTCTTCTTCAACTGGGGCTACCTTTTAAAGAATCTTCAAAAAAATATCCTTAAAACTGAAGTTGTGAGTACCATGAAGATTTCAAACATTCATAAATCAGGCAATCAAAGCCCACTGTTTTGTAAATTTCAAATAAAAAAAAAATATCCTGAGCAAAAAGGAATGCTCTGGTATTTATTCTTCATCTTCTCTCTGTGTACTTTCTAAACTTCTGCCTCAGCAAGCCTGGGCTTTGTGTTTGTTTGTTTGTTTGTTTGTTTG